AGCGCCAGGCCCCGATGCTCGGGGAACGCGCGGCCCGTGGATGAGACGATTGGCACATCTAGCGTCAAGGCCATCTGGCCCTGGAGCAAGTGCAGAACACAGAGCACAGCGTAGGGGCAACGCCAGCCGTCGAGCGCGGCCCAGAGCGGCAGCCAGCCGGCGACGCCGAGGCAGGCGCCGAGCGCGACGACGGGCCTCGGGCCGACGCGGTCCGTAAGCATGCCCATGTGCAACCCAACGGTTGCGCCGACGTTCGAGAGCGTTCCCAGTAGGTCGAGTTGTGTTTGCGGCAGGTGGAATTTTGCCTTGAGCGTCGACGAATAGAGCGAGAAGATGTACGAAAGACCAGCAACAGACTGCACGAGCACCGCCGCGGATAGTGTCGTCCATCGCGCCGTCTTTCGGGGCTGCTTCTTCGCAGGCAGCGGCGACTGCGACCGCGATCGCAGCAATTCTTCACTAGCTGCCCGCATCATCGCGATCGCGCGCACAAAGCTTCCGAGCTGTTTTTTAGCAATCCTCGCTGGCTGCCCGCATCATCGCGATCGCGCGCACAGCTTCGAATTCCGAGCTGTTTTTTGAACCACAACTTGAATCGACCAATCAGATCAGATGATCGGTGTCACCTCGCTCCGGATCGACTTCCGGATCGCTCGGGATCGCTCCGGATCGCGCCGGATCGCGGTGGCGCCGGCCCTAATCAGAGACGCCTTACGAGCCGCCGCCGTCGGGATTCATCCCCAGCTCCAAGAGAGCCCCGAGCCCCGGGTAGTGCGCGTCGTCCGCGGCGCGGGCGAGGAGCGCCTCGCCGTCGAGGAGCTCGAAAACCAAGCCGCCCGGCGTCGCGGTCGGGTCGTCCTCCGCGAGCGGCCGCGCGAAGCGCAGCTTGCCCAGGAAGAGAAACTCGGCCTTGCCGCGCCTGCCGAAGAGCAGCAGGGGCTCGGCGTCGAGGCGCGACTCGTCGAACGCGCGCGGCGGCCACCAGCTCACCTCGAGACCGCCGTGGCCATTGCGTTTCATCGCGTTGGGATACTTGCGGTCGAAGTACCGACTCCTCCGGTTCGGCTTCGGCGGGTCCCAGTTGACAAAAAAGACGGAGCAATCCCGCAGCCGCACGACGCCGGACCGCTTGTCGTAGCCGGAGAGCGCGCCGTCCGTGCCGGCGACGAACGTCAGCGCGTCGTCCTTCGGGTGGTTCACGCGTTGGCGGCCGCGGCCGAGCAGCGCCGACGTCCGTTCCGGGTCGTCGACGGCGCTCAAGTCGCCCGCGCGCGGCGCGGCGGCCGAGACGTCCAAGGCGGCGACCGCGTCGCTCCCGCGGTCCGCGAGCGAGTCGTGCAACAGGACGCAGACGTAGGCGTCGAGCGCCGCGTAGGCGACCCACGCGTCCGGAAGCGGCCGCGCGCCGACGCCCCAGGCCGAGCACTGGAGCCGCTTGTCGAGCCGTACGCCGAGGAGCGCGCCCGCCAAGCCGCTCAAAGACGACGAGCCGGCGTAATCCCGGAGCTCGCGCGTCGTCGCGTTGCGCAGCCCCGCGAGCGCCGGGTGCGCCGCCGCCGCCCTTTCGAGGTCGTTGCCGACGGCGAAGCCGACGACCACAGCCTTCTCCAGGACTGCGTCGAGCGCCGCGCCGACGACCGTCAGAGCCTCGCCGTCGAGCGCGACGAGATCGACCACGTAGACGGCGGCCCGCGTCGCGACCTGGAGCACGGCCGCGGGGCCGTCGGTCTCGGGCTCCCACTCCGCGTCGACGCCGACGACGTCGTCGCCGCGACCGCCGACGTCGCTCGCGAAGGCCGCGGCGGACGCGGCGTCGTCGACGCGCGCCACGCGGACGTCCGCGGGCATACTCAGCACCGGCAGCGCCTTGTCGGCCGCGCGGCGCGGCGACAGCTTCCGCCGCGGCTTCGGCGGCGCCTTCGAGCCCAGCACCTCGAGCTCGTCGCATCTGAAATCGAGCTGCCCGTCGCGCAGCTGCCGCCGCTTCTCGCGCCACCGCGCCCAGCGCGTCGGCCCGTCCGCCCACGTCGGCGTGCCCGAGACGACGACCCGCTGGCCGCAGCGCAGGCGCCGGATCGCGTTGCGGACCTGTTCCGTGCCCTTGGCGCGCTCCAGCGTCGCGCCGACGATGGCCTGCACTTTGACCCCGCGGCCGGACGGGAGCGCGCGCCAGGACGCGGCCGCGTCCTCCGAGGGCGCCAGCGACAGGAAGCAGAGCGTCCGCGCCATCTGGCGCTTGCCGACGACGACGCCGACGACGGTCGCGCGGCCGCCCGTCGCGTCGACGCCGACGGCCGCGGGCGCCGGGTCCCGGCCGGGCCGCGCGCGCGCGATGACCGCGCTCCTGCCGCCCGCGAGGCGCAGGAGCTCCGGTCCGTCGCGCAGCACGAGCTTCCGGTCGCCCTCGCCGGAGCCGCCCTGGAGCCGCGACGGCCAGTCGGCGACGGCCGCGTCCACGACGGCGACGACGCCCGGCCCGAAGCCCACGGGCGGCACGCTGCCGACGTCGAAGCCCACGCGCGCCGGCACGTCGGCCGCCGGCGCGAGCCGCGCGCCGCCCGCGCCGACGCTCCGCGCGAGCGCCGCGGGGTCCACGGAGTCGGACGCCAGCACGACGGCGACGACGCTGCCGCCGCCGTCGACGTCGAAGGCCAGCGCCTTCACCTCCTCGCCGCCGTCGCGCGCGACGGCGACGGCCGCGGCGCGCCGCTCCGCGAGGAAGGCGTCGACGGCGCGGCCCGGCGCCGACGTGCCAGGGCGCGGCGTCGCCAGCGTGCGCCAGACCTGCCACGGCAGCCGCAGCGCGAGGCAGTGCATCGTGCTCCACAGCAGGAGCAGCGCCGCGGTGCGCATATATGCAGCAGCTGTGCGCTGTGCTGCGAGCGCGAAGCCTGGTTGCGAACGCTTCCAGCACTTCTCGCTTTCAGCACTTTTCGCTTTCAGCACTTCACGCTCGCCACGGCAGCAGCACAGGCCATAATCAGCATTGGCACTGTGGTGGCGAGATCAACGATGCCGTGCACGGCTGATGTCAACATCTTGCCAAGATGTGTTATCGGTGCAGGACGAAGCGCGGCGCTGAACGGGCTGCCCGCGTCGTCGGACCGACCGGCCGCACGAGCGCTCCCCGGCCGCACCGCCTGCGCCGATCGCGCGCGCACCGGCACCGATGAAGAGCTCGTCGGCGGGCGAGGGCTCGAAGTCGCTGAGCGGCTTCTTCAATCGGTCGGTGACGCTCAGCGACCTCCAGGCGGACCCGCGGCGCGACGTCGGCGACCTCGGCAGCCGGCGGCTCCAGCCGACGGCGGAGCCCATCCCCGAGGCTTTATTCGGCTTCGACGGCCAGGCCTGGGACGCGGGCCAGTACGCGCGCGAGGGCCCCGGGTCCAAGGGCCGCTACGACGCCTTCGTGCGGAACACGACGCTGCCGACGGTGAGGCGCGAGAAGGCGCGGCGCCTCGCGCGGCCCGGCGAGTCGCCGGGCAAGCTGTTGGGCCGCCTGCGCAAGGCGAAGCAGCCGCGCGAGTCGGAGATCCTGGACCACAACCTGCGGACCATCGGCCACGTGCCCGTCGCGTCCGAGCGGCCGAACATCCGCAAGTCCGCGCTGCGCCTCGAGCGCCGCTACCGGAGCGCCATGGCCGTCGTCGACGGCCGCGACCCCGCGGCCCAGTCCGTCGCCGAGACCATCGACCGCATCGCGTCGCAGCCCGCGGGCGAGTCCGAGGTCGCGACGGACTACCTCGCGTGCTGCTCGACGGTCGAGGCGGCCTTCGACGAGCGGAGGAGCCTCACGGCGGCGGTGAGCGAGGCGCGCTCCCTCGAGGGCGAGGTCGTCGCGCGGCCGGGCGCCGAGCCCGCGGACGCGCGCGGCGCGGAGAACGCGGCCGGGTCGACGGTCGCGGGGCTCGTCGGCCTGTCCTACGGCCTCTGGCGCGAGTCGCGCGAGGCGCTGGCCGCGTCGATCTTCGAGCAGAAGTGGGCGAACATGACCTGCGCGGAGCTCGCGGGCCAGGTCACGGTGGGCTGCCTCGAGCACGGGCGCCTGCTCGAGAAGGTCCGCGCGCGCTTCGGCGGCGTCTTCGACCGCGTCTGCCGCCTCCACAGCGACGCGCTCTGGCACCTCGACGCCGCCGTCGCGGCGCTGGGCGAGACGCGGTCCACCGTCGTCGAGCTCACGGCGGCGCGGCGGACGGACGCGCTCGCGTTCCGCGACAAGTACGACGCGGGCGTCGCGGCGCTCCGCGCCGAGCACGCCGCGGAGCTCCAGGCCAAGGAGGCCGCGGCCAAGGACGACCGCCTCGCGTCGCAGCGCATGGGCGAGACGCTGCGCACGCTCAACGCCGTCTTCCGGGACATGCAGGCCGACACGGAGGGCGTGTCGAAGAGCGACCTCCGGGACAAGATCGCGCGGCTCCGTGTGGAAATCAACGAGTGAGCTGGGACGTCCCGACCAAACTTTGAAATTCTCTAGCTCGGCCAAATCGAAGTCGATTCGGCTGATTTTTGGACGAATCGATCGCTCTCGTCGAATTCTCGAAGCAGAGCGAAAGAGCCTGGTCCCAATCCTTCGACTACGCTCACATTGAAGTCGGGTTGAAGATTTGATTTGCCCACAGGCGCGGCTCCAGGCGCAGCTCAAGGACGCGACGGAGGAGCTCTGCGACCTGCGCCCGTTGAAGGAGGTCGCGGCGAAGGTGCCCATGCTCGAGAAGAACGTCGGCGCCCTCCACCTCGAGCGGTCGGACCTGAAGAAGCAGCTTTTAGAGCGCGAGACCGTCATCGCCGCGCTCCAGGCGACCGAGGCCGAGCGGCTCCGCCAGGAGGAGCTCGCCGCGACGAACGAGCCCCTCCACGAGGGCGAGCTCGCCAAGGGCCGCAAGCGCGAGTCGACGCAGCCCGAGGGCGACGACGACGAGGACGAGCCCGGCGACGGCGTCGACGTCGGCGACCCGCTGTCGAACGTGCTCTGCATCAAGTGCAAGAAGTCGCTCAACGACATGGCGAACATCCACAGCGCCATCGAGGGCGACGGGCCCGCGGAGCCGCCGCGCCTCGTCTGCCACGCCTACCGCCTGCTCCTGCCCAACATCGGCGGCCACCGGCCGCCGCGGTCGCCCGCGTGGATCCGCCGCGCGATGCGCGGCGTCGTCCACGCGATCATGGTCGACCACGCCATGCACGGGCCGACGCAGGACGGCCGGTCGCGCTTCCCCGAGTTCGTCTACGCCTACTTCGAGCCCAAGCGCGAGCGCCTCGACGCGCTCGACGCCGTCGAGCGCCGCGCGGCCGTCGCCAAAGCCGACGACGACCGCTGGGGGCTCTACTACGGCGTCAAGTTGTTGAGCCGCGAGTCCGACGAGGCGAAGCTCTTCTGGAGCCTGTTGGACGAGTCGCACGGCACGGACTTCCTCGCGTTCTACCTCTACTGCGTGACGATGATCCGCAAGACGGCGACGGAGATTTTAAGGGACCAGGGCGACGTGTGCTACCGCGCGACGTCCTACGAGAAGCTCGAGACGCTCGTGAACATCGGCGAGGAGGAGGCCGCGCGCTGGCAGCGCGACGGCACGGTGCCGTCGGACCCCGTCTGGAACCGCCTCGTGAGCGCGAACGACCAGGACGCGCTCGCGATGGGCGGCCAGCAGAACGTGTGGCTGCCCCTCAAGCACGCCGTCGAGGCCACGGAGCAGATCTTGATCAAGGCGAACCCGAAGCTCCGGCGCAGTGCCCTCGAGGCGACGCGCGAGATCGCCGTCGCGGGCGAGGGCCGCACGCGCAAGTGGGGCTCGAACCAGATGGAGTGCGTCGACCTCGCGCTCTGGCTGCGGATCCTGACGCACCTCTACCGCGAGGAGCAGGCGCACCGCCGCGCGGCCGTGCGCCTCATGTTCGAGACGGCGCTCGCGGGCACGATCGCGGCCCACGCGCCGGACTACGGCACGGGCCGCGCGCCGGAGCCCGCGGACCCGAACCGGCCCATCGACCCGCACGAGCCGCCGCCGTGCGTCGACCTGCCCCAGTTCGTGTCCATCGTGCGCACGCTCTGGCCGACGACGTCGACGGTCTACGCCTGCAACCTGTACCGGGAGGCCCACACGCAGAGCAAGGGCCGCGTGGACTACGAGGTCTTCCTCGAGACCGCGGAGCGGTGCCGCTTCTTCGCGCACTCGCTCGCGCTGCCGCACTACGTCGCCGCGACGCCCGACTTCCCCCTGCCCCAGAAGGAGCGCTTCGCGCTGGGCGCCCTCGTCCACATGCGCGAGCGCATGATCCGGCCCCTCCTGGAACGCGTCGAGGCGTCGCTGCCGGACGGCGCGCGCGCGCGCTTCGTCGCCGCGCGGACGCAGTTCGACAGTTTGATCGAGCTCAACGAGGACGGCGGCGGCGCCTTCCACGACATCGACGGCGTCCAGCCCCTGGCGGCCTACCGGCGCCTCCTCCAGCTCTGCGCCGACGCGCGCTACCTGTCCTACGAGCTCGGCATGGACTACCCGGAGGGCTCGGGCGACGCGGGCGGCTTCGCGGAGCGGCTCCGGAGCCGGACGCTCACGCCCGGCGACTTCGTCGTGACCATGCTGCGGGAGATGCGCCACACGGAGCTTGTTTTGATCGACTTCCACGAGCCGCCGGCCTGGACCCTGGTGCAGCGGCTCCAGCTGTCGCTCGCGGTGAGCCGCGTCGAGAAGAGCTGGCGCCGCCGCGAGGTCGTCGAGGTGGGCCCGCCCCAGGCCGTGCGCCTCGCCATGCGCAAGGGCTACATGGGCGGCCGCGGCGACATCCGGGACCGCCGCGTGCACCTCGCGCCCGCGCGGATCCTCGGGCTCGTGGGCAACCTCTACGAGTCGTGGCTCCACCTCGCGGCCGACGACCTCACGCTGAGCGCGCTGCCCTTCCCGCGCCTCGTCCACGCGCTCCACGTCCACCGCGTGGGCATCCCCTCCGTCGCCGAGCGCCTGCTCCACGACCTCTACTACAACTGCAAGCTCGTCGCGGCCGTGCTGCCGCGCGTGCGCCTCTTCTGCATCTTCTCCGGCGTCGGCCAGCTGCCGCCCCAGATGACCCTGGGCAAGAAGAAGCCCGACGCCGACGGCGCCCTCGGCGCCCAGCGGAGCGCCCACGAGGCCGTGCTCGCGAAGCACGCGAAGGCCGCGCTCGAGTTCTACGTCAACGCGATCCTCCTCGTCCGGAAGACGCTCGAGCTGCCGCCGGACGGGCCCCTCTTCCACAACTCGCACCGCTCCGGCGACGGGTCCAACGTCTGCGACTTCTGGGTCTGCGGCATGAGCGTGCTCGAGCGCTGCGCGCACCAGCTCCTCGACGAGCGCCTCGGCGCGAAGAGCTCCAAGGTCGAGATCCTCATCGGCGAGATGCAGGGCCTCCGCGGGCCCGACGACTCGGGCGACGTCGACGCGTTCCTGCTGCTCCTCATGCGCCACTGGGCCGCGGCGGTGCTGGACCGCGAGGACAAGGCGAGGACCGCGGCGGGCTCCGACGCCGTCGTCGTCGGCGGCGCGGGCGGCGCGCTCCAGTCGTCGCGGGCCTTCGACCGCGCGAAGACGTCGCTGAAGATCGCCGACCTCGCGCCGCCCGTGGCGCCGTCGAGCGCCCAGGACATCGTCGGCGCCATGAACTTCCGCCGCGACGCGCTCCGCCACGTGAAGCGCGACCTCGGCGCGGCCGTCGCGTACTCGTCGGCGCTCCGCGCCGTCGAGGGCGGCGCGGAGCCGAAGAAGGCGGCGGCGGCGGCCTGCGTCGACGGCCTGCGGGACTGCTCCTTCGTCGACATGACCGCGGCCTGGGTGCCCGAGCGGCAGACGCCCGAGCCGAACTCGATCCACTTCGACCACCGGAACGCGTCGTTCGCGTTTCTGGACTTTTGGCAGGCGTACCACGAGCCCATGGAGGAGTACCTCGACGCCTTCGAGGTGCTCTTCACGCGGGGCCACGACCGCGAGATCGAGGAGGCGCGCGCGCAGCTCATCATGATGAAGCGCGCCGTCGACAAGTTCAAGTCCGAGGCCGAGAAGCCGTCGACGGCGACGAACGTGCTCAAGTTCCACCTCTTCAACGACCGCTGGGGCCAGCTCCGGTCCCTGCTGGACACGATTCACAAGCTCCGGGGCATCCACGTCGCCTACACGACGAAGCAGATCGACGACGGCCACGTGTCGCGCGACGACGCGGAGAAGGACCTCGTCAACGTCGCCGGCTGGGGCGGCTCCTACGAGTTCGTCCGCGACGCCTGGACGCGCGGCTCCAAGGGCCGCTTCTTCCCCCAGCCCCGCAAGATCAAGGGCGAGCACAAAATCACGCAAAGGGGGGCGAAGTAAGGAGTGGCCTATGAGAGACGCGGCGTCCCAGAGCGGCCGCGGCGACGTCGAGGCTAGAGCGACGGCGCGGGGTTATGTAGCGGCGCGGCGACGGGGGGCTGGGATTAAAAGGCCGCGGGGCGGCTTCTATACCTGGAGCTAATTGTAGGCGTACGAGGCGCCCCGGAAGCGTGCTTGGGGGCTCACAAGCAGCTCATCGATGATCGCCAGAGGCAAAATCTCCTCCTCAGAGACGCCCAGCCGCGTCGACGCGCGTGCTCGCGGGCGATGACTGACAGCTGCGACGCGTGCGGCGGGGACGCGCTCGAATGGCGAGGGGGGAACGGCGTCTGCATGAGCTGCGGCACGGTCTGTGAAGGCTCGGCGATCGTGCCGGACCCGGATCGGACTTCAGAGCTCGCAGCGAATTTCTTTAAACCAAAGGAACCAAACGCGCCGGACGAGCACGGGGTTCCCCCCCTGCATCGTGCTGTTCGCGCGGGCTTCGAAGCGGAAGTCGCCGAGCTCGTGGCGTTTCGCGCGAACGTAAATGCGAGAGACGCGCTCGGACAGACGGCGCTGCAGCTCGCGATCGAGGAGGGGCACGCGGGCATCGCCGACCTTTTGATCGAGGCGGGCGCGGACGTGGACGCGCAGACCACGACGGTGATGCCCAGGACGGTGATGACCGAAAAATCCTGGGGTGGGCCTCGGCGGACCGAAATGACGACGATTTTAGACTATCTTGAAGAGACGGTCCTGATGCTCGCGATCAAGCGCAGGCGCTTAGAGATCGTCGACAAATTAATCAAGGCGGGCGCGGACGTGGATGCGGACGACTGTCATGGAGAGACGGCCCTCACGCTCGCGGTCAAAGACGGGCTCTTAGGAATCGTCGACAAATTGATCGAGGCGGGCGCGGACAACTTGTCCCTCTTCGACTGCGACGATCTCCTGCACCGCGCCATTGATGATGGTTGCGAACGCCAGGTCCTCGTGCTCTTGAGAGCCGGTGCGGACGTCGAAATAGAAGAATCCGGTGAAGGCACGCCACTTTCGTACGCAGCCAGACTGGGGGAAACGAGCATGGTCAGCCTTCTGCTCGAATACGGCGCGGACGTGGATCACGATGGGGGGTGGTGTGGGACGGCGCTGCAGATTGTGATGGAACAGGGGGATTCAGAAATCTTCGAACTTTTGGTTGGCGCGGGCGCGGACACGGGTTGTTTGGAGGATCCAGACGAAGACGGTTTGCGTCCGCTGTATCACGCGGCCCAGAGCGGAAATGAACGTATGGTCCTGGCACTGTTGCGCGCCGGTGCGGTGGTGAATGTACGCGGTGGTGAATGGTCCTGGCTTCCGCCGCCGCCCTCCGCGCTTGGAGCCGCGGCTCAACAGGGACACATGGGCATCGTCGTGATGCTGCTTGACGCCGGCGCGGATGATTTGGACGAAGCTTACAAGGGGGCTTTACGGAAAGGGCACGCCCGAATTCTCGGCGTGCTGCGCCGCCACGGCGCGCCTGGAGACCCTGGTAGCATTCTTCGCACCGATAGCAACGCATCTGCTTGGCGCTACCACGACAAGCTCGTCGAGGCCGGCGGATACCATGCATTTCTCGCGAGGCACCGCCGCGTTCTATCCCAGCTCCTTCAGACCAAGTTTTTCGAGGCCAAGTTCGGCCGCTTCGCCCCGCGAGACGTCTGCGACGTCGTTGCGTCGTTTTCGTCCGCGCTCCCTAGGGCTACAGTTTATCTATAGATGCCTCTCGAGCGCTCAGGACTAGAGCGCGCGGCACCTTGCAGTCCTCGTTGAACTCCGTGCTCAGCTCTCATCGATGTGTCGCATCATCCTGATGTTGTTGCTCGCCGCGCGTCGATCGGCGCTGGTCCTGCGACCCGCGCGCGCCGTCGCGCTCCGCGGCCGCGTCGCGCTCTTCAGCGAAACGAAGAGCGTCGATTGGCCGGGCCTGCGCAAGGAGGCGGCGCGGCGACTGGACCGGGCGACGAAGAAGGTGTCGAAGAAGAGCATCAAGGTGGCGTCGGGCGGCGGCGAAACATCGATCGAGGCGCTCGCGGCCGCGGAGCGCGAGCGCGACGGCTTGGGCGAGCTCGCCGCGGCGCTCGAGGCCGGCGACGACGACGCGGCTATAACGCTCGCCGCGGCCTGGGACGTCAACGACGCGCCGCCGGTGCGCGCGCCGCGGGGCCCGAAGAAGGTCAAGGGCGCCGCGCCGAACACGGGCCCGCGCCTGCCGTACAGCTCCTACGCGAGCGCGGCCGGCGTCGAGATCCGCGTCGGCCGTTCCGCGAGCGACAACGACAAGCTGAGCTGCGACGCGCGGCACCGCGACGGCGCCGACTGGTGGCTCCACGCCGCGGGCTGCCCCGGGTCCCACGTCGTCGTGCGCTGCCACGACGACGACCTGCTGGGCGCGGACCGCGAGACGGCGCTGGACGCGGCGTGCCTCGCGGCGCTCTTCTCCAAGGCCGTGCCCAAGCCGCCGGAGGACGCGCCCCACGAGGCGACGGGCAAGGCCGGCGTGTCCCTCTGCCGCGCGCGGACCGTGTCCAAGCCCGCGGGCGCGAAGCCCGGGCTGGTGCGTCTCACCGGCGACGTGGCGACGCTGAAGGTGGACCTCGCGCTCGAGCGGCCGCGGCTCAAGCGGCTCCTCGCGACGAAGGGGGCGCCCTAACATCCTTTATGATGCGCGCCTCGCGTCAGCCCGCGACGCTCTCGTCCGCGGGGCTCGGCGGCGCCTCGGCCTCGGCGGCCTTGGGCGCGCCGGCCTGGCGGAAGTAGATGCTCCAGTTCAGGCTCGCGGCGATGGTGACCCAGCCGACGGTGGGAAGCATGTAGAGGCCGGCGACCTGGTCCATGCCGTAGAAGAGGACCGCCGCGGCGACGAGCGCGCCGTAGAAGGCGGTGATGAAGAGCGCGCCCGTGCGCACCTGCTGCGCGCCGAAGAAGACCTTGTTCCAGGCGTCGCCGAGCGCCAGGTGGCCGCAGTAGACGGCGAGCGCCAGCCACGGCGGCTCCTCGCCGTCCTCGAGGCGGCCCATGACGCGCGTCACGGCCAGCAGCTGCGTCGGCTTCGACACGAGGAGCCACATGATGGGGAAGACCCAGCCCGGCGGCTCCCAGCCGGGGCGGTCGAGGCTCGCGTACCAGCCCTGCTCTCCCGCGACCATGGCGGGCATGAGGATCTGGCGCGACGCGACGCGGAGGCCGCCGTCGGCGACGGAGCCGAGCAGGCTCGAGCCGTAGATGATGACGAACCACGAGGCCCACTGCACCGCGCTCAGGCCCCGCACGGTCTCGCTCGGCAGGATCTTGAAGCGCACGACGAGCTCGCTGATCGACGGCGGCGCCCTGCGCGCGGCCTCGACGACGCCGAGGAGCACCGCCGTCTCGACGACGGCGCCGACGAGCGTGTTGAACGTCGCCGAGAGACCGCTGACACCGCCGCGCACGTTCGTGGCGCGGCGCGCGACCGTGCCGCGTGCAAGCGGGTCCGCAGCGATGCCGTTGCTGGCGCGGCGCGCGGCGGCGCGGTGCACGAGGCTTTTGCGCAGAGGTGTAAGGCGTGCCGAGGCCAAGGCGACGCACACGAGCAGCTTCATGGCGGCCATCGACGCCGCGCGCGTGCAGCGTCGCAAGGCGTCGAGCACCTGTGGGTTCCGAACTCAACAAAAAGCAAAAAAAGCTCAAGCTCGCCGATTATCTGCCGATTTACCTCAGGCAGAGCTCCTCCACGACCTCCACCCCCACCAAAAGTCAGACACCATGCCGTCGTCCCTGGCCGACGGCTACGACTGCGTCGTCTTCGACTGCGACGGCGTGCTCTGGAGCGGCGGCGAGACCATCGCCGGCGCCTTCGCGACGCTCGACGCGCTCGAGCGGGCGGGCAAGAAGGTCTACTTCATGTCCAACAACTCGAGTCGGGGCCTCGCGGAGTTCCGGCGCGTCTTCGAGGCCCACGGCCTCGGGCGCTTCGTGCGCGACGACGCGCGCGTCTGGAACTCGCTCACCGCCGCGCGGCACTGGTTCGAGGAGCGCGGCGGCGGCGGCGCGGCGTACGTCGTCGGCGCGCCCGCGCTCAAGGCCGGCGTCGCGGCGGCGGGCGTGCGCGTCGTCGAGCCCGAGCCGAGGCGCGGCGCGGCGCCCGACGAGCTCGCGGACATGGCCATCGACCCGGGCGTCGACTCCGTCGTCCTCGGCTTCGACAAGAACTACGGCTACTTCGAGGTCGCCTACGCGGTCCGCTGCGTCCTCGAGAACGGCGCGAAACTCGTCGTCACGAACCGCGACTTCCAGTTCCCGGCGCAGCGCGGCCTCAAGATGCCCGGCAACGGCGCCTTCGTCGCCGCGGTCTGCGCGGCCGCGCGCAAGGAGCCCGACGCCGTCGTCGCCAAGCCCGAGCCCTACGTGCTCCGCAAGATCATCGAGGACGCGGGCTGCGCGCCGTCGCGCGTGCTCATGGTCGGCGACATGTGGAGCGACGTCGTCTTCGCCCACGGCGCGGGCGCGGACGCGGCGCTCGTGCTCGCGGCCGACGGCGACGCGTGGACGGGCGCCATGGCGCCGGACTACGTCGTCGCCGACCTCACGCGCCTCCTCGACCCGGCGCCGCCCGCCGCCGCGCGCCGGCTCAAGCGCGCGCTCGCGAGGCTCGGCGCCGCGCTGCCCTGGTCCCACGTCGCCTGCGTCGCCGCGGGCGTCGCGGTCGCGGCACTCGTGGGTCGCCGGCGGTCCTAAGATTACCGTCCGAAGGGATTGAACGAGTCCCGGGGCCCGTTGTCGAAGTCGACGTAGTCGTCCCGCGACACGAGCTCGTACTGCTGCGCGGGCTCCTTGCCGCGGCCGCCGAAGTAGCGGAACGCGACGGCGGACGCGCCGAAGGCGACGACGAAGCAGAGGCCGATGATCGCCGCGATACCCGGCAGCGTGACGACGAAGCCGCCCGGCGGCGGCGGCGGGGGCGCGGCCGCGCGGACGGACGGCGCGCGCGTCGGCCGCGGGGGCGTCGGCCGCGGCGGCGTCGGCCGCGGCGGCGTCGGTCGCGGCGTCTGGTCCCGGGTCGGCCGCGGGGTCGGCCGCGGGTGCGGCCGCTTCGTCGGCTTGGGCGCGGGCGCGGGCGTCGGCCGCGGCGTCGCCGTCGGCTCGCGCGTCGGCCGGGGCAGCGGCGGCCGCGTCGCGCCGGCCCCGAGCGCCGAGCAGGTGCCGCAGGACACGGGGCAGCCGACCTCAGACGGCACGCCGTCCACGTCGACCTTGTTGGGGTTGAAGCAGCGGTTCTCGACGTTGTCGGCGACGAAGCCGCAGCCCTTCAGCGGATTCGATGCGATGTGCCAGGACTGCGAGTCCGCGCAGGCGACGTCTGCGGCCAACTCCGACGCCGTGACGGGCCGGGGCGTCGGCGCGGGCCGGGGCCGGGGCGTCGGCGCGGGCGTCGGCGGCGGCGTCGCCGGGGGCCGGGGCGTCGGCGCGGGCCGCGGCGGTCGCGGCGGCGCCGCGTCGCCGTCGAGGCACGCGACCTCGAGGGACCCGAACCAGTGGTCCAGGGGCACGCTCGCGCTCGGCGAGCTCCGCGCGTAGGCGCCCGACGTGCCCGCGCAGCCGTCGAAGGCCGCGTCGTCGCCGACGAGCCAGTTCCGCGACGCGCGCCAGAGCTTGGCGCCCGCGGCGTCGCACGCCGCGCAGTCGTAGAAGGGCGCGTCGCCGCACGTGCCCGCCGCGAGGTACTGGCCCGCGTAGCGCGACACGCCGTCGACGCGCAGGAGGTAGCAGAACGCGTCGTCCGCGGGAGGCGCGCCGTCCGCCGCGGGAGGCTCGACGTCCGCGGGAGGCTCGGTGTCGTCGCAGGTGCCGCAGGACACGGGGCAGGCGCGCTCGGCGAGGACGCCCGCGGCGTCGCGCTTGTCCTGGAAGCAGCGGCCCGCGACCTTCTCAGCGACGAAGGCGCAGTCCTTGGACGGCATGCCCGCCATGGACCAGGACGCCGAGTCGACGCACGCCGCCCGCGGAGCCGTCGGCCGCGGCGCCGCGGGCCCCGCGGTCGGCGCGGGCGCGGGCCGCGCCGTCGGCGCCGCGCTCGGCGCGCCCGCGTAGTTCGCCGAATCCGGGTCGAGGCACGCGGCGTCGTCGGCCCAGGCCAGCTCGCAGTCGTCGGAGACGCACGTGTCCGCGCAGCAGTCGCCGCCGTCGAAGCCGCAGGCCGCCGTGTTCGCCGCGCCGCCGTCGCAGAAAGCGGGTCTCGCCGCAGTCGGGCCACCGCTCCGCGGTCGGCGGCGCCGTCGGCGCGGCGCTCGGCGGCGCCGTCGGCCGCGGGCTCGGCGCCGGCGTCGGGCGTGGGCTCGGCGCGCGCGTCGGCGCGCCCGTCGTCGGGCGGGCGCTCGTCGGGCGCCGCGTCGTCGGCGGGGCCGTCGGCGCCGCCGTCGGGCCCGCCGTCGCCGCGGCCGTGGGCGCGCGCGCGGGCGCGGCGGTCGTCGGCGGCCGGCTCGGCGCGGGGCTGGCCCCGGCCGTGGGCGGCGGCGACCGCGGCGCGCTCGGGCGGACGCTCGGCCCGGCGCTCGGCGCGCCCGCGGGCGACGCGCTCGGGCGGACGCTCGCGCCGAGGGACGGCGCGGCGCTCGGCGGCGCGCTCGGCGCGGGCGTCGGCGCGGGACTGCCTCCGCTCGGCGCGGGCGTCGGAGTGGACGTCGGCGCGTTTGACGTCGGAGCCATGGCCTCGTCGGGCGCCGCTGCCGTGGGCGAATTGGACGTCGCGTCCTCGGGCTCCGCGCTCGGCGCCGTCGTCGCGAGGGTCGGAGCGCTCGATGCCGTCGTCGCCAGGCTAGGAGCGTTGTCCTTCGGCGCCGCGCTCGGTGCCATCGACGTCGGCGCGCTCTCTATTGGCGTCGCCGCAGTCGGAGCCGAGCTACCTCTGCTCGGCGCCGTCGTCGGATGGGTGGACGCGCGGTCCTCGGGCGCCGCGCTCGGAGACGAGCTGAACGCGCTCGGCGGCATCGACGGAAGGCTATCCTTTGGCGCGGCGCTTGGCGCCGAGCTGGTCCTACTCGGCGCGATCGTCGGAAGGTCGCCGGCCTTCGCCGCGGCGCTTGGAGCCGAACTAGTCCCGCTCAGGCCTCCGCTCGGCGCCGTCGTCGGAAGCGGCGGTCGACTCGGCGACGGCGTCGGAGGCGCGGCTTCCGCCGTTGCGCTCGGCGCGATCGTCGATGGGCTGGCGCGAGCGCCGCTCGGCGACGGCGTCGCGGCCGTGCCGGAAGCGCTCGGCGCCGGCGTCGCGGCCGCGCCGGAGACAGCGACGGCGGCGCTCGGCGCCGGCGTCGCGACAACGACGGCGTCGCTCGGCGCCGGACTCGGATCCGCTCGCGTCGCCGTCGGAGCGCCGCGCGGCGCCGTGCTCGGCGCACGCGTGGGACTCGCACCGTCGGCCGCGTCTGTCGGCGACTGCGCCATCGTCGACGCGGCCACGGTCGCGCCGGCCGTCGGCGCTAGGCTCTCGGGCAGCCCAGGAAGGGAAGAAGGCGCCGGTGTCGTCGCATTGCCACCGCCGTCCGCGCACGCGAGCGAGAACACGAGCGCGACGAGCCATCGCCGACCGCAGAGCTCGCGCATGATGTTCTACATGCGTCGAACGTCGGCGGCGACGAAGCCGCCCGCGTCGGTACCAGGCTGCCGTGTAATTATACTGCATGTTGTAGTCAACATGCATGGCTCGAACTTAGTCTCCTGCCATCTTTTGCGGCCTGCGAGCCGCCGCAGCCACCGTCGCCGCCGCGTTCTACCCGCTGCGGTTCTCGACAGCTCCAGGCGCTTCGACGCGCATTCGCTCCGCCGACCGCTCGCGACACCGACCGCTTCGAATTCGAGCGTCGCGCAGCCGCTCCAGAGGCCTGCGCCGCTCCTAAGAACAGGTTGCGCCGCAGCCGCTCGAGACGACGCGAGCATGCACCCGCTCGTGCGGGACCTCTACAAGAAGCTGTTGACCGTCGGCCGCGACTACCCGGCGGGCCTGGACCACGTGCGCGACCGCGCGAAGCGCGAGATCTTCGGCCGGCGCGACATCGAGGGCGAGGTCGACATAAAAAAGGCCGTGCGCTACGGCCGCTACATGCTCCGCGAGATGATGGGCGTCATCCAGCTCAAGAAGTACCGGACGCTCAAGGCGCGCTACGCGCCCAGCGACGACGACGAGCCGCCGCCGCCGCCGCCGCCGGCGTCGGAGCGACGATGACGCGGCCTCCGTTAAAGTTTTGGCGTCGCTCCCGGGACTGTAGAGTCGCTGCACTCCGCTCTAAAAATGTTAGAGCGCGGTGTCGTCCGCCGCGCGCGCGGCGACGGCCGCCGGGGCCGCGTCGTCGAAGATGCGGGTCGCCTCGATGGGCAGGTGGTCGGCCGCGGCGAGGAGGCCGGCGCCGACGCAGAGCCACCACATCGGCGCGTAGGAGCCGTGCGCGTCGAAGACCTTGCCGCCGAGCCAGGCGCCGAAGAAGCTGCCGACCTGGTGGTTCGCGAAGATGATGGCGAAGAGGGTCGACACGTAGCGGGGCCCCGCGAGGTCGCCGACGATGGCGTTCGTCACGGGCACCGTCGAGAGCCACAGCAGCCCGATGACGCAGGAGATGGCGAGCGCGAAGGCGACGCTGGGCCGATCGTTGAGCGCGATGGCGGCGAAGACGAGCGACCGCGCCGCGTAGATGCACGCTAGAATCCGGGGCTTCCGCTTCTCGTAGCGCTGCGCGAGCATGCCCGCGACGAACGTGCCGCAGACGTTGCCGAGGCCGATGAGCGACAGCGACGCGGCGCCGACCCACTCGGGCAGGCCGCGGTCCGAGAGGTAGGCCGGAAAGTGCGTGCGCACGAAGAAGACGTGGAAGCCGCAGACGAAAAATCCCGCGAACACCAAACGGTAGGACCGCGTCGCCGCGGCCGTCCGCACGGTCTCGCCGAGGCTCCGCGCCGGCGCGGGCCGCAGCGGGTTCGCGACCTCGTCGCCGGCCTTGGCGGCCGCGGCGTAGTCCGCGCGGCCCCGGCGGAGCGTCCGCGCCGCCGCCGCGAAGCACAGGCACAAGGGGAACATGACCACGCAGCCGCCGGCGACGAGGCGCATCGCGGCGCTCCAGGACCGCGACGCCAGCAGCGCGTAGGTGATCGGCGGCACGACGACGTTGCCGATCGCGATCGTCGACGACGCCATGCCCAGACTCCGGCTCCGGCGCTCCGGCGCGACGAGCTTGCCCACGGCGCCGAGCACGACGCTGAAGGACAGCGCGCCCGTCGCGAGGCCCTCGACGGGCACGGCGAGGTAGAACTGCCAGCCGTCCTCGGAGTAGGACGTCGCGACGAGCGACGCGACTTCCAGGGCCGCGCCGCAGGCCATGACCGGCGCGGCGCCGTAGGTGTCCGTGAGCGCGCCCCAGCCGATGCTCGAGAAGCCCTGCACGAGCATGTTGAGCCCCACGGCGAGGCCGATGACCTGGCGCTTGAGGTTCTCGGCGTCCGTGATGGGCTTCAGGAAGAGGCCGAACGAGGCCGACACGCCAAAGGCGACGCCGCCCATGACGCCGCCGCTCACCAAGGCTGCGAGCTCCCAGCGGCGCTCGTTGAGCATCATTATCAGTGTCTACCCATCATTTTTGCCACAGGATTTTAGTGCTTGCCACTAGATGCCACAAACATGAAGCACCCACCACGACGTTGCACCATAAAATTACCCCGCGCACCGCAGGTGGAAGGAGCGGTAGAAGGCGACCTGCCTCGCGAGGGCGGCCGTGGCGATGCGCTCGTTGTAGCCGTGGAAGCGCTTGAGCTCGTTCTCGCGGTCCGTCTTGCGCAGCAGGATGGGGTTGTAGCGGTAGATGTTGTCCGTGAAGTCCCAAAAATGCTTCGAGTCGCTCGCGGCGATGAAGAGGGCCGGCGCGACGGCGACGTCGCCGAAGACCTCCAGCGTCGCCGCCCGCAGGTGCCGGAAGGCCGCGTGGTCCGCGGTCGACACCTTCGACGGCGGCGTGAAGTCCTCGACCTCGACCTCGACGCCCCAGGGGTGGTCCGCGTCGTAGGGGTCGGCGATGACGCGCCGGTCGTGGGCGAGCACGTCGTCCAAGGAGTCGTCCGGGTGGAGGCGGTGGTTCACGTAGGCCACGGCCTCGTCGGGCAGCACGTTCTTCTTCTGGCCGGACCGGAAGATGGTCACGGCCGTCGTCGTCCGCACGAGGGACGCCGTCTCGGGCTTGGACGCGAGGACCGCCGCGAGCACGGGGCCGAAGAGCCACAGGTTCGACACGACCAGCTCGAGCGGCCACGAGAAGCCGCCGCGGAGCGTCGCGAACATCGCCAAGGCCACGGACGGCCGGCTCGGCATGGGCCGCCGTTCCAGGCGCGTCACGGCCCTGGCGAGGCGCCCCAGCGCGCCGTCGGGGCCCGGCACGGACGCGTGGCCCGGCGGCGACCGGCACGTCAGTTTCACGTTCGCGAAGCCCTTCTCCGCGACGCAGATCATCGCCACGGGCTTGGCGTGGCTCGGCACGACGCCCTCCGTGACGAAGAGCCCCTCGTCGAGGAGGAAGTCGAAGCGCGCCACGCCCGAGACGTCCCTCAGGTGGGCCGCGACGCGCTTCGCGCCGTCGAGGCCGCCGACCTCCTCGTCGTGGCCGAAGAGCAGGTAGACGTCGCGCCGCGGCGACACGCCGGCCTCGAGCAGGTCCTCGACGGCCTCGAGGTGGGCCAGGACCATGTTCTTGTCGTCGATGGCCCCGCGGCCCCAGACGCACTCCTCGCCGCTCGCGTCCGCGGCGACGTCGCCGCGGAAGGGCGGCCGGTCCCAGCCGTCCGCGGACCCCGGCGGCACGACGTCGAGGTGCGCGTAGACCGCGTAGGGCGCCTCGTTCGTCGAGCCCTTCCATCTGAAGATGAGCGAGCCACGGTTGACGACCGTGCGCTCGAGCGCCGCGTGGACGCGCGGGAACCACGCCTCGAGGAGCGCATGGAGCTTCTCGAACTCGCCGAGGTCCGCGGAGCGCTCCGCGTCGTCGCGCTCGTAGCTCACGGTCTCGCAGCGCAGGGCCGCCGCGAGCCGCGCCGCGTAGGCCGGCGCCTTGGCCAGGATGCGATGCTTCGCGGCCCCGTCGCCGCCGTCGCGCGCCGCGCGCGCCTCCGCGGCGGCGGCCGCGCCGCGCGACGGCGAGAACGCGCCCTTGGCGAGCGCCGCGCGCGAGACGCAGACGGCGCCGAGGGCCAGCGCCGCGTAGCGCGCGACCGCCCCGATGCTCAGCGTCCTGGACGCAGCGGCGAGCGGGCTCGCGGGCGCCGCCGCCGCCGACGCCGCGCAGAGCGCGACGCCGAGCCAGAACAACGCTTTGCCGCGCAGCGCGTCGCGCAGCACGTAGCTCAGCGACGGCTTCAGGCCGTCGGCGTGCCCGGCGCCGCAGCGGCAGCCCGCGCGACCCTTGTCGCAGAGCGTCGCGAAGGCGCCGGGTTGGTCCATCGTCTGGTGGCAATTACGGCGCAGGGGGGCTATGGACAGAGCGATCGGAGGGCGGGGAGGAGTGGTCCATCGTCTGTGGCAATTGAGCGAGTTCTTGAAGAAGGCATCGTTTTGCTTAACGCGAGCTGACGGCCGAGTCGCAGGTCGGGTCCGTAGGCTCGAAGCGCCGCCGGGTCCTCTCGCGCCCTCCTCTCGAAGCGCATCGCGTGCAGCGCGCGGGTCGCCTCGACCCCCCACTCTCGGAACCGCGCGTGCAACCATGATGGCCCTCGCGCTGGAGACCGACGACGCGGGGCTGCTGCAGCGCCTGCTCGCCGGCGGCGCGGATCCCAACGAGGTCGTCTACTCCTCGGCCAGCGCGTACCACCGCGGCATGACGGCGCTCCACGCGGCCGCGGAGCGCGACCTGCGGGAGTGCTGCGCCCTGCTCGTCGCCGCGGGCGCGCGCGTCGACGCGACGACGAACTACGGCTGCACGCCGCTCCACCTCGCGCGCCACTTCCACCACCGCAAGTCGACGCGCGACGTCGTCGCGCTGCTCCTCGCGTCGGGCGCGGACGTCAACGCGGCCACGGTCAGCGGCTACACGCGCGTCGACTACGCCGTCGACGACGGCGACCGCGCGCTCATCCCGCTGCTCCTGCGCTTCGGCGGCCGCGTCAACGCGGCGCGCGCGCGCCTGCGCTACCCGTGCAACCGCGCCACGAACGACTACGTGGACCGCATCGTCGCCGGCGGCGGCTGGGACGCCCACGTCGCGCGGCACCGCGTCCGCTGCGTCGGCGTCGTCTGCAAGATCGCCGCCGCGCTCCCGGCGGACGTCGCGAGCCACGTCGCCGCCTTCTGGGTCCCGCCGGGCGGCTTCTGAAGCTCCGAATTCTGGGAGCCCGCCAAGTTCCGAGAGCGCCGCGAGAGAACGGGCAGCTAGACATGCGGGCTAGCTGACCCGATCGCCTCGCCCACTACACGGTATATAACATGACTAAGAGCCCTCCCCGCGCTCCTCGATAACGAGCTCCTCGAGCGCGCCGCGCATGGCCGCGTAGTACGGGTCGTCGACCCCGCCGTTTTTGATCTTGAACTCGTCCAGAATTTGCAAAAGGCCGGCCGCGCCGGTGAGTAGCTCCGGAGCCGATGGCGACTCCGCGGCGGGCTCGTCGAGCTCCGGTGGCGTCGACGCGGCCGCGGGCGCCGCGGGCGCGGGGCTCGCCGCGCCGTTCGACGCCGCCGCGGCGGGCGGCGGCGTGCCGAGGATTATCGCCTTCTTCGCGGCGAACTCCGCGGCCGTAAGCCCGCCCTCGTCGTAGAGCATCTTCAGGTCCCGCACCTGGTGCGCTAGGTCGTTCGCGAGGTCCGTCACGACCGTCACACACTTCGTGAGCACGGCCCCGTACTCGCTCTTCAGCCGGGCGCCGCCGTCGGCTTCCTTGAGGTGTGCCGCGACGGCCGTGAGAAGCATCTCCGCCGTCAAAGTACCGTCGACCAGGGCGGCCTCTAGCGGCGCGTCGCTCGCCATGACGGCCGTGATGGCGCTATCGACGATCTCTAATGACAGCGGCGGCGGCTTCGCGGCGCGCGCGTCGCCGGCGCTACGCGCCGGCCGGAGGAAGATGACATGACACGCGCGGCGGCCACGGAGCGGTTCGATGATTTCGAGGAGTTTCGCGGAAGCGTCGACGCGTACCCAGTAGCGCCGATCGGATTGGAGGCATTCTCGAAAAATAGCTTCCAGAGACTTGGTAGCACTGTATTCCGACAACACAAAAAATTCGAGGTCCTTGCGCGACGGCTTCGAGTTCACAAGCTGAAGCGCATTGGCTTTCGGTCCTTCACACTTGACAGAATGCTCAGAAAATTGCTTCGCAAGAGTCATCGCGCAGTCGTAGCAATCGACCTCGCCCAGGCCCAGAGCGGCTAAAGCATCGAATTCTTGCCCACCCATCGGCACAAACGAGTCCCCATCGGCCGCGTACATAAAAATAAAGGCCGAGTCTGCCCCATCAACTCGCGGGCGCAGGAACAGTCTTGACGAATGCGTGATGACGTCGTTGAGCGTGACGGCAGCGCCCTCAAAATCAACATCGTCCTCGTCAATCGGTGCCAGAGAACAGACGAATTGATCAAAAATACTTTTCCCAAGTTCGGTATTTTCAACACCAGTCCACGCTAACAATTTTTTCACGGTCTCCCCCGCCGGCCGACTGAATTGGTCTTTGGCAACGCCCTCATCCGACGGTTTGTCCCGGGGGGTATTGAGGCAGATTATCTCCATGTCGATCATGCCGTTGAAGGAGCAGGGCGCGATCAGCGCACCACGATTCGGGCTCTGGCCGCGGGGCGTCGACACAGCCGCGGGCGCTGCGGGCGCGGGGCTCGCCGCGCCGTGGGCCGCGCCGTTGGACGACGCCGCGGCGGGCGGCGCGATGCCGAGGATCTCCGCCTTCTTCGCAGCGAACTCCGCGGCCGTGAGCACGCCATCGTCGTAGAGCATCTTCAGGTCCCGCAGGATCTGGAGGTCGAGCGCGTTCTCCATGGTCTCCCAGCCCTTCTTCGCTTCGGCGGCCGCCGCGGACTTGGCCTTCTCCATCCTTCTTCGTCGGCTTCTTCTCCTTGATCTTGCCAAGCGGGCTCGCAAAGGCGAAGGGAGCCACTAGCGACAACTTGCGGGCGGCCTGAAAGTCTACGCGTCGGCTCGAGCTGGCGCTCTTCGCCCGCGCGCTGTCGCGTCCCGTGTCGTTGTGGTGAAAACTTTAGTCGGCGATCTGCGGTATAGCCGCCAGGGTAATCTCCGGGTAAAATACCGGTATGGTAATTACCGGTAATTACCGCGGTATTACCGAGGGCCATATTCCCGGCCCGGGTAATACCGAGGCGCGCCGAGCTCCCGCAAGTACGGGTAGCCTGCGATCATGACGCGCGGACCGTCGCGGGCGCGTTCCGCGTCACGGTCGATGCGCGGCGCGAAACCGCGACCGAGCGGCTGCTCGTACCGAGTCCGACGGCGACGACCCGCCCCGCCGCCGCGCGCGCCCGCGCGCCTAGAGCCCTAAGAGGAGTCGCAAGCTACACCGTGCGGCGCCTTCGGGTAAAAGGGAATTCGGTCGACACGCGGGTTCGCGGGGGTCCTTTTGAGCCGCCATACCGCCTCCAGTCGTCCCGGTACACCGTATTTTACCGGTAATTACCCGGGTAATCGGGATTACCGGTAATTACCGTGGTATTACCGAGGCGGCTCGCGGCTTTACCGGTAATCCGGCTCCTATAATCTGCGGACGACGTCGTCGACGACCTCCGACGTACCCCGCAGGAGCTGTCACTGTCTTTTAAAAAACTGTGACGGAGCTCAAGAAGATATGTACACCGGAGACGGAGGGGAAAAAAAGGCGGCGCGCAGGCGCGCGCCGCGTCAGTCGAGGGTGGCGGTGTTCGAGAGGCGGTCGAAGTAGGCCGCGGCGCGGTCCCAGAGGGGCTCGGGGATGCGGCCCCGGAGCGCGACGGATTCCGGCGCGTCGTCGCGCTTCGCGAGCTGGGCCTTGAGGTAGTCCGCGACGGCGCGCATGGAGATGTCGTCGGCGGCGACGGCGGCGT